CAGTCCAGAACATGATGTCCTGTGGCAAATCCTGTTAAATGTCTTGTCAGAAGCTTTCCTTCATCATGAGGAGAGAGAGCATAAGGCCTAATATCGAATTGCTATTAGTGTCTAAACTCTTCCTTTCAATTTCTGTACTTATCATGGACCAGGAACAAAGTGTTCATGGACCCTACTTCGAGACATACTGCTCAAATATCTTTATCTCCTCTAATCAAATACATGGGTAAGAGCAGACACAAATCCACACACACGCGCATTTCCCAAGGATGAACAAAATTTTTTAGGCAAAGGGTGGATTATAGGGAAAAAAATTCCAGTTTAGGAGGGGCAGGCCTACCTAATCCTCATTAATAAATAAAGGAATTAACATCTCAGTTTGAAGAAGGACTATTTCACTGGTTCAGAAATTCCCTACAAACAGTGCTCTCCAGTCTGTTTTCATATCATAGCACACATGGAAAATACTATCTGTAAGTCACTTTGAAGTGTGATACTCTGAATAAAAATATTCTTGACAGTTGACAATTCAACTCTCTCTCTCTTTCTCCCCACCACCTATTCTCTCTCTCTTTGTATGTGTGTACATATGTATATGCAACACATACACACAAACACATGTATTTCTGTTAAACATTGGAAATTGAGTGAGAACTAAATTTTGAAGCTTCTGAACCCAAGGCTTTTCTCTTTCTTATCAGAAAATTTAAAATTGTTCTACTTAACATGTAGCATAGCATCCCTTCACAATTACATCAAGAAAGTCCTAGGTGTCGGAATTTCTTTTTTATTTCATTGATATAAATGAAATGTCTGTCATTTGTGGAAATTGTATGTAAATCTGGTTGCAAGAGTGTATTGAGGATTAAGCTGAAAAAAAGAGAACTAAGGAGAAGAAGGGGGAGAAGAAGGGTTGGGGAGACAAGGAGGAAGAGACAAGAAAACTCTCAAAAGCTCCTTCATGGAGAAGGGCAGAGGAAAGAGTTTCTGCTATCTGCTTACAGGGTTGTAAAAGGCAGTTTATCCAACATTGACTTGTATAACAGAATTGGATACACTACAAGTTAATTTCTCCACCTACTAAACAGGAACAAAGCTTCCTTTTCCCACCTCCACCTCTCCATGTCTGCCCTGAAAGCTGTAATTGCTGGAATTTCTGGCACACTTGAGTTTCAAAACATCAGTGTCTTTTTAAAGACTTGCTCTTTATTAAAAGTCAGCTACTTACAAACTTATAGATAAGGAAAGCATACTGAAAATGAATATATCAAATTATATATACATAGGTATATATTTCTTTTAGAATCTGTAATTGAAAAGATTTTTTTCATTACCTGTTTTACAGGTTTTTCCGCCTTTCCATTACAGAATGGGTTTTTAAATTGTCTCATTTATTTTGCCAGTCTCACAAGCCCTTTGGAAACAGAATTTTTATTCTATATCAAATAAGTAATACCAAAGGGGTTCTGGGATTCACTGGGGTCAAACAGGAAATAAAGTACATATAGAGATATAAATGAATTGAGGAATGAAAGTGTCTTGAATCATTTGATAAACAATAGCTTTCATAATAGTAACTTTTTTTCACATTGATTTCAACCATCAACCAGTCACATTTATCAGGTCCTGATTTGATGGTGGTGGCATTTTATAACTCAATAGACATCAATATCTTATAGCCCAGTAAAATTTGATACAAAGCCTGTACTATGAAACCAGTCCTATCTAGAACACTGGTGTTATGTGGTTCACCAATCAAATACTGAACTCTTAAATAAAGGAGAGAAAGAAATGGCAATTTTTACTTCAGCAAAAGCATAAAAGTAAAGGGAGAAATGAGAAAAAAGGAATTGAAAATGTAGGACAGAGAGAAAGGGCAAAAATGCAGGGCATGTTGAAATTGTGAAAAAAATCGGAATGAAAAATAATTAAAATAATTAATAATAATAATAATAAATTTGGAGCAATGTCCTAGATAGATTAAATCATAACAGAGAAACGCAATTATAAATACAAATGGAAGAGAAAAATAGAGGTAAACCAGTATACAAAAGTGATAATGTATTTGACAGAAGTATTGAATCTCAGCAAGAAATTCCCAGAGAAAAAAATAATAGAAAGTGTTATCAAGAGAATTATGTTCAATTATTAAGTGCACCTAAGTCAGCACTAAAGAAAACTTTGAGGGACCATATTTTGAAATTCTTACTGTAAATTATTCAATAGATGATTTTGGCGGGTTGTTTGGATTGATATCTCACTTTTATACCAGGATAAATTTCATATGGATATGTTGATGCAAATAATCCATAATCAGTCTGTAAATCAAAACTGGGGTAAGTTCATGATATGAGCCAGTTTTTAGGATTACAGCTTGGGAGCAACCTTCCCCAAGGAAGGAAGCACTCTGAAGAAGCAGGGTGTACAGAGTCGTTATATACTGTCTTAGAACAAGGAACATACATCAAAGATGGCAGGAATATCTCTTTCCCTACTGTCACGAGATGCTTTGCTAGCACAGGAGGTCAGTGGTCATGAGTTGAGCACAGTAGGTCAGTAATTAATCCTTAGTTTCTGGGAAGAAATGCTTATTTATAAAGAAACACTGATATGGGGGGAGGCAACATCCCTATCTTTAAGGGCATCATTCTTGGCTTTGAGACATTATAAATGTTTAAAGCAGATGTACAGTGTATGCTTGACAGGCCACATCAGGCTTTTCTGGAAAAACAAGGTCAGGCCGAATTAGTTTTAAACCAAATGGCTTCCTCATATTTGCCAATATATCTTATTGCTTTTCATTTATTCATCAGATAGAAGATATAAGTGTTGCAAACAAAACTGTAAAAGTACTAGAAGAAACCATAGAAGAACTTTTGTATCATCTTGGCTAAAGGAAGGCCTTTGTAAGAACAAATAAGAATACTCTTTAAAAACCTGCCACTGTAAAGCAAAATAATGATATATTTGAGTAACACAATCAGAAAAGTAAAAAAAAAACAACAAAAATAGAGAAATAGATATACACATATATTTACAAATCTTATCACAGGCAAAGCTAATTTCCTTAATATATAAGGCACTTCCACTATTGATAAGAAATAGATCAACATTCCAAGAAAACATCTATGAATAGATGATATAGAAAACGGAAATAAAAATGACTTTTAAATAAATGAAAAGATGTTCATTTTCATCAAAATAAGAGAATAAAAATTAAACTGCATGGAAATATCATTTCTTACCCAAGTCAGTAACAAAAATCAAAATACTAATAACACCCTCTTAATTTTCTATTGCTGCATAACAAATCACCACAAACTTAGCAACTGAAAACAACAAAAATTTATCTCAGTTTCTTGCATCAGAAGTCTGCGCACTGCATGGCTGGATTCTCTGCTTAGAAATTCAAAAGATCAAAATCAATGTGCTAACAGAGCTACATTCCTTTCTGGAGGAGAGAATCTGGGGGAAGAATCCACTTCCAAACTCATTTTGGTTATTAACAGAATTCAATTCCTTGCAGTTGTCGGAGGAGGTCACTGTAAAGGATGTGACCCCTGGTTGACCCTTAAGCTGAACCTGGGCAATTAGAGTTTCCTTGCCCCCTCCCCTGTCCTTGAAATGTACGTCCCGCCCACTGTTCCTGTACTAGGAGCCACTTCAAGGATGCAGTCTTGAGAGAGTAATGTGTTACTGAGTCCGTCTGGACTGTATAAGTGACTGAAACCCGTTAAGGCCTCTATATAAACTTCGAAGACTCTGGCGGGTGGACACGGAGATCAACTTGTCTTGCAGCTGCCCAAGACAGGCCTCGTATGTAAGTTTTCTTATTAAGCCTGCCACCTCCCAATCTGGAGTGGTCTGCCTCTTTCTCCAGTCTCTTCTTGCCCTCCATGTAGGGGGGCCAGTTTTGAATTTTACCTGGGGAACTCCCAAGGTTTTGAACCAACACCATTCTTCACTAAACATTGGTCAGGGACTTCTCTCTCAGCCCCTTGAGGTCATTCATTCCTCCTCATATGGATCCCTCCATCTTCACAACAGCCACGGTGCAGTAAATTCTTCATAAATATCTCTGACTTTTCATTCTGCCACTAGCTGGAGAAAGCTCACCTAAAAGGGCTGGTGTTAGTCAGGCCTATCTGGATACTCTCCCCCTCTTAAGATCAGCAATGCTATATAACTCTCCAGAATCATGGGAGTGATAAATTATCATATTCACAGGTTCTGGGGGTTAGTACAGGATATCTTTAAGGGGAACATTTTAGAAATCCTGCCTACTACACATACTGTAATAGCTTAGGTATGGGGGAACATGTACTCATTTATTACTAGCTAGACTATGATTATACAAACTCTCTGAAGAGCACTTTGATAGCACTTATTGAAAATTATAGGTGCATAGACTTGTGACCCAGTAATTCTACTTATAATAATTCTATATTGTTCTATAGATATACTCACACATGTGAGAGAAGATAGGCATGATGATATTCATCACAGCCATTTGTAATAGTAAAAGAGTAGAAACAATCCAGGGTGCATCAGAAGTGAACCAGTCCAATAAATTATTGTTCAGGTGCATAATGGAATACTATGCTGCTGTAAAAAAAAAAAAAAAAGAGGACTCTTTATGTACCGATGTGACTTCCAAGGTGTATTGTTGAGTGAAATAAGCAGAAGGCGAACGACATGAGAGTATGCTATCAGTGGTGTAAAAAAGAGGGAAAAGTAGTAATTCCCCCCAGGGGACACATAGTGATATCTGGAGATAATTTTGGTTGTCACAATTTTAGAGGGGAGTGTGTTAATGATATCTAGTAGGTAAAAACCAGGGAGGCTGCTAAACATCCTACAACAGATAGAACATCATCCTACAAAACATAATTATCTGGCCCAAAATTTCAATAGTGCTGAGGTTGAGAAACTCTGTTCTAAAACTACCTTTTTGAAATTCCCAGGGTCTCCTTAGTTTTAGGGTCCATGAAAAGTTTGTGTTCATTCTGGTCATTTATTTAAGTATTATAAAATTTAGCCCAGTTCTTTCCTAATCCTTCATATTTCCATACTGGAAAGTAGTGATATTTTAGATTGTTTGTCTTCTCCTTGATTCTTTTAGATGTCCTTCTCCAACTCTGCTGAATCTTTCTCGAGACTGGTTGACCATAAGCGCCAACGTCATTTCAGGTAGGATGGGAGATGGTCCTGTAGGAGGGTAAGATAAAGCAGAAGTGACTATCCTGTTAGTGGCAAGTGAGGCCTGTCCTGCTGAGAGAGATTATATGAGGTAATTGACTTTTAATTCATTGCTTCACTCAGAAACCTATAATTATTCAGAAAGCAAAGATGATATTACCTGCCACCAGGTATTTGTACCCAGTGAGCATGCGGGGCAAAGCCAGAGTCACCACAGCAGTTTGGAGGTGGGAAGGGTTGGCAGGAGTTTCAGATGGCTGAAACAAGGTTTTGCAAGAGTTATGAGGCTCAGTCTAATAGAGTGGTGTTATTGCGACCGATCCCCTTCACGGGAACACGTCCTTTTGAGTTCTTGCCCTGTGTTCTCTGTATTGATTAAGTTCAGCTGTTCTCAAGGGAGTCAGACCAATAGTGGATTAAACAAGATTAAGTTTTACTCCTTTCAATCAAAAGTCCCAGCTGGGTGGTGGCTTTGCCATGCAATTTTGTCAGGGCCCAGGCTTCTATCTTCTTGCTGTATCTACCTTAAAGTGATCACATGGCCCACTCCTACATTTACAGTGAGCCAGAAAAGCAGGGTAAGAGGAAGGAGAAGACATCTCCCATTATTTTCAGGAACTACTTTAAGGGTACAATTCAGCAGTGGCACACGTCGGTTCCATTCATATTCAGAACTTATTTGCATGGCCATATCCAGCAGCAAAGGAGGCTGTAGAATGTAGAAAATGTAGTCTTAATTAGTACAGCCATATGCATAGCTAAAAATTCCACCATGAAAGAAGGGGAAAATGGATACCAGGGCACAATTAGCAATCTCTGAAATAATGTCTGTATGTAGTAAGACACACTTGTTACTAACAATAGAGAAACTTGTATCCTTGGGCTTGGGTCAGTTAGTGGCTTTCTGTCATACACTATATGCCTTGTGAAAATAATGGATTATTTTTCTGTTTGTTACTGCTATCCAATTTATGTGGTTCTCCTCCATCTAGGCATTAGTCTCATCAAATTATTCTTATTGGCATGGCTTTTCATTATCTGAGAGAACTTTTAATCATATGCAGTCTTAGTGAATTTCATTGTATGCTACCACTTTCAAATTATTTTACAAACACATTGATTACCACACTTAATTCTCTTGTGCTTGGAGAAGGTCCGTTTATCCTCTTTCAGTAGCTCCTCTTTCTAAGTAGTACTCTAACCACTATGATAGATTTTCCTGAACTGCATTCAGACTGCTTTTTCAAAAAATTATTTGAACTTTTGAATATTTAAAATCATCAAAATAATATCCACTGTTTTCCCTTTGTTACCAACTTTTTCAGTCCTTTAAACAGGTCTGGAAGTAAACATCCAAAAATTCATTTTGCTTACTTCCTCATTGTTATCCTTTCCTTGGTGTTCAGAAACTCTACCCACCATTAGAGTTTCCACTAGCAAAGTATGAATTAGGACTTCTGATTTCTAGTTCACATGGCAAAATATATAGTCAATAGATAGTTACATTTTTCTCTTAAATTAATTCACAGTAGAAGAATGGCAAGTCTGCAGTGGACACTTAGCACGTCTCTCCTTAACCTCCAAGTCTCCATAACAGTATAGTTCATCATTCATTATAATGAGGAATAAAATTTAACCTTAGTTGTAATATATAAACTATTCCAGTCAGAATGCCTACTTTGATTTTTACGCACAAGTCCTGCAACTATGCTGCCTTGGAATCTGAACAAAAGATGAACACACACATTTCATCCATGATACATACTCAACATTATTCTCCCTGAAGCCTTCAGAATATTAAAAAGTGAATATATAAAGTATTATTTATCTTTTGAATTACTATTATGTAAAATCTCATCATTATGTGTTAGTTGTCCAACCTTTAAAGTAACTACATAATCATGCATAGTTGAAAATTTTGGCCAAAACCAGCTTATAATTCACCAAAATATGCCTTTATATGGCCATTATTTGCTCGTAGAAATGGGGCAAGAGAATTTGGAGGTAAACATGTGATGCAGATTTTATAATACTTCATCTAAAATTTTCATTTAGACTAGATAAAATTGTGGGCAAAAAATCAAGTAGGCTTAACTATAGTTACTAAGGGCAATGGATAGAGCTTTAGGCTTGGTGAACTTGCAGAGAGCTATGTGACACCCTTCCTTAGTTGATGAGAGTATCAACAGAAGAGCGACACCAAATTATTATCCGTTTGATTTGTATCACTATATCCTTAGGGTCTACACAGAAGTCCAGGCTTGGGTCAGTCTTCTTGAGAGCGGACAGTAGGCAATCTGGAGACCTCTTTGGAGTTTCTAATTTTTGCAAGAGGGCTTTGTATGGACAGTGGTCTTGGTTTAGTCAAGTTCCTCTGGCCACTGTTGTCCTTTCAGCACGGTAAAATTGCCCTGCATAGGGGTTCAAGGATATGGACCGCATTTGTATCATAGTAATGATTAGTATAAAAATCTACTTGTTAAGGCAAACTATATAATTTTGAGACATGATGCAGATGCTTTTCATCCATCAATTCATAAGAACCTGCAAATAATAATCACCAACACCACTACTTTACTATTTTCAACTATTCACAACAACAATTCCAAGAAATTTTAAAACCTCTCTTTATATTTAGGGCAACTTTAAAGTGAAGTAATAACTTATTTATCACCTTGGTACTGTGGGAATCTTGTAAAACAGTTGTGGAAAAGGTTTTATAAAGATATTTAGATTTTGATGGATGAGTAACTGGCCGGCAGATGGAAAGGCCAGTCCCCCCAGAGTGAAAAATCTTAGGCAGAGGCAAGAAGGAAATAAAAGCACTATATATATATATATATATATATATGTATATGTATATTTTATGTAAGTGGGGAATTCTATATAGTTTTTTAAAAAAAGAAACAAAAATAAAAGCTATTTCTGCAGTGCTTAGCTCCAAATTAATAAAGGTCCTAGAAGAAGCGTGTTATAAAGTTATGATAAGAGGCAGATTTAACGAAGGGGAATACCACTCACCTAGTATGTTTTGAAACCCTAAGACCATCACAGCAGATGAAAGATGAGGCGAGAGTAGAGATTGGGCAGTGTGACTCTGGGCCTGTTGGAAAGGTGCTCATCTACCTATGGAGGTGTTTGATCCCCGCCTTCTGAGCGGCACCTTGATTTCATAAATGAAGAAACTTACACCTAGAGTAGTTAACAAAGTTCCTACAGCCTCTCTGTACTCAATGTGTGACCCCTGGACCTGCAGCACTGAAATCACCTGGGACTTTGTTATAAATACAGATCCTGAGGCCCTGCCCCGGATCTACTGAAACAGAATTAGCATTTTAACAAAAGACCCAGGGGACTCCTATTACATTCTTAGAAATGTAGCCTAAAGGCCACTGAGCAGGACGCCTCCGGGGCCCGGACTCTGCTTCCATTGAATTCTTCCTGAATTCTTCCGTTACTGTTACATCTTACTGCTTGAATAGACCTCGGGGGCACATCACTTCCTCTGCTCTTTAAGCTTAGTCTTAAGAGAGGTCCAGGAAAATGCCCACCCCGCCAATGCCATCTTAAAATCCTGCCAGGCTCGGGGCCGGCCCTGGCCAAGTGGTTAAGTTCCCGCGCTCCGCTGCGGCGGCCCAGGGTTTCGCCGGTTCGGATCCTGGGCGCGGACGTGGCACCGCTCATTAGGCCACGTTGAGGCCGCGTCCCACATGCCACAACTAGAAGGACCTGCAACTAAGATATACAACTATGGGGAGGGGGGATTTGGGGAGATAAAGCAGGGGAAAAAAAAAAGATTGGCAACAGTTGGTAGCTCAGGTACCAATTTAATAAAATCCCGCCAGGCCATGGCAAAGTGAGATGTCTCTGGGATTTGGGCTATCATAGAACATTTTCCAGTTACTCTGATAACACCTGTGATTCCCGGGTCCTTTGGCCAGACCCCTCTGTTTGGGTTGCCAACTCGCGCAGCTTGGGCGGGGCCAATACGGGCTGGGCCAATACGGGCTGGGCTTGAGGCGCGCGCGGAGTCTGGCGGTTGCCTAGCGACGGCGTCCGCACTAGTCCTCAATCGGTCAAGTTCGCTGCGGTTTGCCGTCTACTTACAGGGCGGACATGGAGACCGAGAGGGGTTCCCTCGTCCCCCGGGACGTGGAGACTCCGAAGGAGATGCAGCTGCGGGTGACCCCGTCGGAGGTGAAGTTTCTGGACACGCTGGCCGGGAGAGTGTACCGCCTCCCAATTACTGTACACAATCTCGGCCGTTGCAACCAGAAGATCCGGTTTCAGGAGCCAGTCAAGCCACAGGTAACACACCCAGGGGTGCTCGGAGCAGGACCTCAGGACCTCAGGACCTCAGGAGGGTCGGGGCTCTGAGAACCCCTCCCCACCAGGGTGCCCAGTTTGTCCCGAGGAGTAGACACCTGGCTCCTGCCGGGGTGGGGGCGGGAGTGAACTTGGAGAACGGTGACTTAGGTATCTCTGTGTATACGTATGCTCGCCTTTTTTTCCTTTTTGCTTGGGTTGGGAGACAGGGTGGGGAAAAGACGATCTAGAACTTTCCAATCTCTTCATTCTGGGGTTGGCAAGGAGGGAGGGGGATTCCTTATCTATCTCCTCTTAACAGCCCCGAATCTATGCTTCGTGATACTGTAGAATTATGACAAAATTCTCCACTAGCTACCCTTTGAATCATAAAGTGCCTGATTCCTCCAGATATTGTAGGATAGTGGAAAAGTTTATTACTCATATTTTAACAAGCGTTTGTTGAGCACCTGCTATATAATAGGCAGTGGATGTGAGGAACGCAAGATGGACATAACCCTGCCCTCATAGTACTTAGAAACTAATGAGGGAGTCAGTACAGTCTAACCACCAGCCAAATGTTCTGAAAGGCTGTCCCCATCTTCTAATTTAAAAGATGACAGAATTTCATCTCCATGTCACTGTTATTTTCGATTGTGTGTGTGAATGCATGGATATTAGTTTACTGTGATCACCAGTTATCAGAGAGACTTTTGATGTAGGACACGTGATAAGAATTTTTGTTTTGTAAGTGATAACTCAATTTTTTTGTGGGATGTTCCTAATGATAAATAGTGTTGAATGCAGCTGGACTTATATGTACAGAAATGGAAAGGTGTCTAGGATTTTTTGTTAAAATTACATATATTTGTAGATAACATAGAAAAATGTACAGTACTGATTAGGAGGGCAATGAGAAAAAGGACTTTCATGTTCTACTTTTTACACTTTAAAAATTTGATGTACTATTTACCTAAAGTGCCCAAATCTTGAAAGTAAAGCTTAATGAATTTATAGATATGTAGAAACTCATGTAGCCACCACTTGGATCAGATCATAGAATATTTCCAGCATTTTAGAAGGTTCCCTACAGTACCCAGAGTAATCACCCCCTGGACCACTGTATTGATTTCTAACACCACAGAATAGTTTTGCCTGCTCTTGAGTTTCATATAAATGGAATCATGCTTTATTAGTTTTTGTATTTGCAAGTTTCTTTTTGGTTTTTTGGGTCTTTTTTTTGGCTGAAGAAGATTAGCTTTGAGCTAACATCTGTGCCAATCTTCCTCCACTTTATATGTGGGTCGCCACCACAGCGTGACTGATGGGTGGTGGAGGTCCACGCTTGGGATCCGAACCCACAAACCCAGGCTGCCGAAGCAGAGCGCGCCAAACTTAACCACTACGCCCCTGGGCTGGCCCCTGTATTTGCAAGTTCTAACAAGCTGGCCCTGGTGGTCTAGTGCGTAAGTGCTCTCACCGCAGTGATCCCGGTTCCTTTCCTGGTCAGGGCACCATGCCACCTGTCTGTCGGTGGTGGCTGCATGTTGCTGTGATGTTGAAAGCTATGTCACCAGTATTTCAAACACCAGCACAGTCACCCATGGTGGACAGGTTTCAGGGGAGCTTCCAGACTGAGATGTGGAAGAAGAACCTGGCCACCCACTTCCAAAAAAATTGGCCGCGAAAACCCTCTGATAGCAGCAGAGTATTATAGCACTGGAAAAATGAGAGGATGGTGCACAAAAAAACCTGGCAGCATTCCACTCTGCTGTATACAGGGTTGCTAGGAGTGGGAATCCATGGCATTAACAACAACAAATGTTTTAACAATGGTAATGTGTTTATTTTGTAATAAAATAGTACATCACAAGACACTATTTATTCTTTAAATCAAAAAGTACCTGATTACTCCAAATACTGTAAAATTAGGGGGAAAGTTTATTATTTTACTACCTTACTACATATTTATGGAACAATTGAATGTATATCTGAAAATGCTTTCCTTTAAAACTCAAGCTGGCAGTAAATCCCAGATGTGAGCAAACACTATTTTATGGATGTCTAGGAGACAGATACTTGTATGGGTGATTTTTATGCAGTCAAAAGAAAAATGATGATTTTTATCATTAGTTTTATTTTGATTTGCATCTAGAGTTATAAAGGGAAACGATTTAAAGATTTTATTTTTCCTTTTTCTCCCCAAAGCTCCCCGGTACATAGTTGTATGTTTTTAGTTGTGGGTCCTTCTAGTTGTGGCATGTAGGATGCTACCTCAGCGTGGTTTGATGAGTGGTGCCATGTCCGTACCCATGATCTGAACCAGTGAAACCCTGAGCTGCTGAAGCAGAGCGTGTGAACTTAACCACTCGGCCACGGGGCTGGCCCTGAAGGGAAACTATTTAGACCACAGGTCTTGACATGGACCAGAGAATGGCTAGACAGGCCTACTAGTTAGAGGCCAAAGCCATGAGCCCAATATCAGTGTGAACTCTTCTTTGTTGCAAGACCGTGCTATGCTTTCCTGATCCTTCATAGGCATAAAGGGAATTAGGGAGGAGGTAGATTAGGAAAAACTGCGTTAACTGTCTTGAAGGAAAAAAGAAAAAAGAAAAACAAGGTGTTTCATAAAGAGCATTGTCATCATCACTGTTATAATTACTTAGAAAATGATTCTCCTAACACACGCTAGTCCTGGTTTTCCACCCTGGCTTAAGATCCTGGATTGTCGGTGTAGTGAGTACCTACCATGTGCCATATGCAGTGCTATATACCATCTACTGTGGGTTGCTGGTAGAAAATAAAGGAGACATAGTCCATGTTTTCAGTGTTTTGCTGACTCCTGCAGCCTCTGGTTCAGTCAAGTCCGTCTTACTCGTAATTGTCCTCTTACTCCCATGGCTTCCTTTTGTTTTGACCCATATTTTCATTCCCCCCGCTGCAAGAATCACCCCTTTCCAAATCCCACCCATCTTTGAGGGTCAATGTGAATTCTCATTTTCTCTAACAAGTCTTCTCTTATCATATTATCTCCAAATTATTTCTTCTCTACTGGATACCAATTACATTTACAGGCATTCCTCATAGTTTGGACTTCTGTCCAGATGACTCCTGGTAAATGTTAGATTTCCCTGAAGGGTCAGTTCATAAGCTCCTAAGAGTAGGGGTGCTTGCCTTACACACCTCTGTACACCACTGAGTGCTCAGCTACTTGTGGTTTGGCCAGAAGCCATGCTGCTGAAGCACTAGTTTCCCTTCTTCGAGACAGAGTTTCCTTAAAGGAAGATGGTCAAACCTGATATGTGGACCTCGAACACCGAAAGGCCTATGTGGGGAATAATCTACCCTTTGTTTTTGAAGGAAAACAAAATTTGCCACCCCAAAATGTGTCTCTTTAACATGAGGATTATTTTAACATGAGGCTGATTACTTTTAAGAAACAAAAGACTCAGAAAGTTTTTCTTGTTACCTCCCCCCTTAACTGCCTAAAAGAATTTAGATAATGGCCTGTAACAGGAACAGAGCTATCACCAGAGATATCAACAAAGGATATGGGCTAAGTGCGGTGGGGAAGACTCAGCATGGGCTAGAGATCAGAGTCCCCTCCTTGCCCTATTGTCTCTGCAAGGCATGGCAAAGATTTGTTTACCAAACGTTAGCTTTTCCATCTCCATGTAAACTGCATTCCTCCCCTTTGAAGTACCAAACCATTACTCCCAACATCTTCTTTTGTCTTTAGCTCTTTGGACATAGTATTTAAGGTGAGGGCTTCCAGCATTTTGATGAGTTACTTGGTTTTCCTGGGTTTCTCCCATGTATACGTTATTAAACTTTTGTCTGTTTTTCTCGTTATTCTGTCTCATGTCAGTTTAACCCTTAGACCAGCCAGAACATAGAAGGGTAGAGGAGTAATTCTTCCTCCCCTACATTTTCTGTTTTGTAATTGCAGGGAGGTTGAAAGTTGGACTGTGGTAGTTACAAGGTATCAGAGTCGTTGTTTGCTCGAAGTATGACCTGGTACCAGTGATATCAACAACTCTCTCCATGCTCTATATCCTTCCTTGCTGGAAAGCGCTGCTTAGACTCATCCTGGCCTTACAAGCCCTGAATAGTTAATTTCAACATGATCTCCATTGTTACTGATTGCAGCTCTTTGCCCAGGGAGGCTAGCTTATTAGCTGGCTGCTGACAGACTGTTTTGCTTATTTTTTCTCTGCTTGTGTCTGAGATATTTCTGCCCCCATAGGAAGCATCTTCCTTGCTTCTTCTCCACCTTTTGCATCTATCCTCTAAGCCTAGACCAAGTGCACTCCTTCCTAGCCCATGATAATCATGTTCTCTCATGGATTGTCATGATACTTATGTCTGCATCACTCATATGACACTTAATTAGTCCCTGGCTTATATTATTAATTTTCAAGGGACATATTGTGTGTTTCCTTAAAGGGATGCTATATTCAGGAGAGGGACTATTTCTAGTTGTGGGGAAAGAGCTTAAGTTTTAGAGTCAGATAGATGTGTTTTGAATCCTTACTGCCACAGTGACCTTAGATATTAATTATACTCTACAGGTCCCAGTTTCCTCATCTGTATTCTGGGAGCCTTAATATCAGCCTTACAGGCCTGTAGAAAGATACTAAGTGAAATAATAGATGAAGAATGCTTGGCCTATCCTGTGTGCTCAACAGTTAGCAGTTCTTCTCTTTCTCCCTGCATGTTTCTCCTGGAGTCTAGCAAATGTTTTACAAGAACAAAAGTGGTTTTTCCTCTTTGGTCTATTCCTTTTTTATGTTTCCTCCAAGTTATGAAGTCTGAATCCCCATAAAGAAAGTATATAAAATGCTGTATGTATGTATATATGCATGCATGTGTTATGTATGTATATATGAT